AAAAAAAAAAAAAAAAATATATATATATATATTGGGAACCATTCTGAAAAGATATTAATTAAAGCATCAAATTGAATAAGTACTTTTATAAAAGATACACTATGGCAAACCGCATACGGCTTTATCCAAGAAAAGCCACTACAAGATTGGAAAAATGTTTTTTTACAAATACTTTATTTTCTACCAATAGTTTAATTTGAGTGCCAACCCATTTCAGTAAAAGATATATGCAGACTTCATCTTACTTACTTTACATGACTTCAAGTCTCACCTACAGTTGTTCACATATTACATAACCGTAATAAAGATTAACGCTAATGGAGGCCAATTTTATTTTGATTGGTTAGGGCTAATCCCATCATGTTACTAGCATAGTGTACTACAGAAAGGTAAGAAATATGGGAACATCACATATTTTTTTGTATATGTATTCTCTAAGTATCCTATAATCATATCACCCTGAAATCACAAATTTTCTTCTTCAATTTCTCGCCAAGAATATATTTGATATATCTGCACTGCAAACAAAGAGTCTAATATTTCTTTTACATTTTCTCTCACACATCAACCTTTATATATTTAATTGATATTTTTACCTTTCAGTTTGTATTTGTCGTTTCAAAAATAGTTTGTACCTGTTCTTCTTACACTCCAGAGGGCATTATGAAGAAAGCGACAAATACTGAAAGTTGGAATAATGTTTTGCCACATGCTGAAAAGAAAAGGAATTATTGGAAGCCAAATTGCAAATAATAGTTTTATAACAAACACATCCCAGCACGTCACATAAGATTTCCTAGGAGCAAAGTCACTGCAAGATTGGAAAAGAATAAGGAAATTCAAATACTTATACTGCGAATTATCAAGGTGGGCGATATACGAGAAGGTTGGGTATATTTTATGTTTAGTTCATTCTTTAACCAATTGGTTTACTAGATTCTGCTATAGCATAAACTTAATTAGTTGCCTCACTCCTGTACAAATCTGGATCACACTTCACACTGGACAATATTCTTAATTCTTAATATCTTTACATGACTTCAGAAAAAGATGAAATAAGAAAAGGAGGTTGGCGTAATATTTTGAGTCAGTGAAGAGATTGTTCCCTTACTAACTTAAATCGTTAATGACCGTGAAAAAAAAAATACTGACAGTCTTTTAATGATATATTTTACAAAAATTGGAAGGATATGTATACAATATAAAACGATCAATTAAAGTGAATTTCTCTGCAAGATATACACCATGTTATGAAGTTAATCCACACCAAGGTGTAAAACATAGAAACCATCAGTTAAAGTTGAACTTAAGGTGTATCTGAGCCACTTGTGTTCACCTTATCATAAGAGCAATGTCTTAAGAGCTCTTCAAAAGCAAAATGAAAGAAAACCTCAGTTCAGTACCTCAATAGTGATTATGTTATAATTACCGCATTGCAAGGGTTTCAACTAATAGCGAAGGCAAGAAGTATGAAATGATAAAATCTATAGGGACTTCAATGGCAAATAAATATTCATATGTATGCACATCAGTTAGATTAGTAGCACAGCAGGTTTCAAAATCACTGCAAAATTAAGAACTTGCATCCATCAACAGTCTGCGCATAACCCGTAACTTGAATCCTCCACGCAAAGTGAACACAGCATACATGCTATATGTAAAAGCAAAAAATTTAAAGCAAGACAGCCAAATTTCTCATTAGAAACCAACCTCAAGTGTTTGAAAAGTGCTGCGGCCGTGGAACTCGAACGAGGGAACTGCCACCCAGACCACAGCCTAATGGGCAGGTACACATCCACCAACACCACACCTCTAATTTCTTCACACCCACCCTCTGGCGCCGGCGAGACATTCACGATTCGGGCCACAATTCTCAAGCATTTGTGAGCCACGAGGGTGCCCAATTGGTGAACCACGCTAATCGATCCGTGGACCATCCCAATTCTACTCCACCTCTTTTTCGAGGACGGCGTCGCGAGTGCTTGGGCTTTGGCAATGGGGTTCAAGCGGGCGCCGTCCTGGGCCAGGAAGTGTACATCTGGAAGGTCGCCGGCGAGGCGGCAAACCGAGTGGGGAGGAATAGAGGCGTCGCGGGGGAATGCGAGGACAGCACAGAGGTAACCGCAAAGCTTGTGGTCGGGCGGCGATTGGACTTCGTCTTCCATATCTGTTTGCGAATATACAAACACTTGAACAATCCCTACATGAAAAATAAATAACGGATAGAAAAGCTCTCCTCAAGTAAATTTATTTGCATGTGTGGCGAAGCAGAGATTCCGGGCGGGGAGTATTGCCGGACGGCGGACCATTCGGCTGCAATTCCGTTCTGGGCCCGACTTTGATTGCCTAATTGTTTTGTTTGTTTCTTGTTTCGTCACTACTTCGTGTTTTTACTCTTTTTTTTTTTTATTATTATTTTTTAGTTTATATTATTTTTTTAAGGCTTTGGGAATAATCTAACAAAATAAAGGCCCAATTGTACGTAGCCCAGTTAACATTAATAAAAAGGGAAATTTTCACTTACTGTACATGAAATTGAAAATTTTGCAAATATACCATCAATTAACAAGTAATTGTGGTTCTACCTAATTAATGTTGATACCCGTGCGATACTCGGGGTGCAATAGAAAGAAATATTTTTTATTTAAATACTATAAAATTATCTAAAACAATATGAAATTCTATTCTCCACAATATCCTATTAAGTAATAATATGACTTTTATTTATTTACTATTATTGTTAATTTATATATATATATATAAATTTTATTATTTATTAGTTTATAAAATATTATAAATGTATAAGATCATATTGTATTTGCATACAAATTACTTGTATGTACTGATAAAATTACCGTTTATCAAGGTCTTATAATTTTTTCAATAATTCATAATTCGCGCATTCTTGATGACTGACCAATGTTTAATCCATAATATTTATCTTCCGCTATAATTATTAAATGCATTAAATGTTCAAAACTTTGATAAATAAAATTTTAATTTTTAGGAACTTTAATTCTTATGCAATACATAATTTTTTATGGCTAAATATTTTATTTTTATGTTTTCATTTTTATTTATATTTATTTTTCTAATTCTTTTTTTTCAAACTATATAATGAGTTATATAATATCTATTTAAATATTTAGATATATTATATATTTCCATAATTACCAAGTGTTATACTTTATATTATTATACATTGTTTTTTTATTAACTTGTTTTTTCCTTATAAAATAGTATATAAGTAAAAAACATATATCTTTACAAATTGAATAGTTTTTTAATGTACATAGATACTTCTAAGGTGAAATTTATAATTATGAATTACATCCGACCATCAAATTATATAATATATTTAATTAAATCAATTGATCCATAATATTTGTTTTGAATTGTATCAGTAAACTCTATTAAATTAATATAAGATCTTATTGAAAATATATCTAATAAATCTACGGTCAAACAGTTTAAGTCAATTTTTAGTTAATGAGTAACAATCACTGAGTGTATAAAATTTAATTATGTTTTTGATACATCAGATTTGCTAATAAATAAATATTAATCAAATGCCAAATATAGCCGAAAAATTTTCCCGCAAAAAATCATGACAATTATAGTAATAAGGATTCGTCCATTATATAGATATAGATTGTCAAGAATTAACAACAATTATGCCTAAAATTCAGTGACCTAAAAAGTGGACTCCATCCACTTTCCACTCCCATGATTTCCGCCATTTCTATAAGAAAAAAAAAAAAAAAAAACTTTGCCTTCATTGATATGGAATGAAAACCAGCGATTTCCATAAAAAAAAAAAATCAGTTGTTTCCTTAATTCGCGCAGCTTGTATGTTTTTTAAAAGAGAAATAAAAACATGTATTGCAATTCATGCAACCGTCAAGTGGTATATGTTGTGTTTATGTTAGTATATATTCAGTATATGTTGCAACGAAAAATATGTATAACATGTCACTTATATTCCCTATACAAAAAA